CACAGGTCAGGGTGTATGTTGAAGCATGCATGCTGGTCTGGTGTGTCACGGGGAGGATCAGTCTCTAAAGGCGGTCTTTTATTGCAGTGTCTGTACTAAGCGTCTATAGCGAAGATGCTGTTCATCTGTCACATGACCCGGTACTGGTCAGCCATGTTGGTTCAAACTCCCAAAGTCCACTCAATCCATGCACTATTGGTCACATAAGGTCGGCCATGTTGGTTCCACCATCACGCGTGCAAGATCACTTTCTACACAAATTTACTTTTTTTTTTAATTTAGTCACCGGCATGGCACAGATGTGCATGGGGGGGGGGGTACGGCCACTCTATAGCTGAGATCATGCGCGTCTGCGTCTGGCTGCTCTATGTACAGGCCTCCAGCGAGTCGGATCAATCTCTGTACGCATAGTTGCATCAACAACAATACACTCTACAACTAACTGCCTAGCTAGTGACTGGTCATGGCTGTGCTGGCGGGGCATTCGGTGCGGACAGTGGCCATGGATGCCATCATGCTGAGCCGTATACTGTGGCAACTAACGTTTCTCACGGCTACCGGCTCTGTCCAGGCAGCAGTGGATGAGCCTGCTCTGCTGCTGAGAACTCAGTGATCTGCTGATGCCGGTCACACCTAAGCACTAAGCGAGCTTGAGTTAAACCATGACACTGCATGAACAGCATAGCTTGAACCATAACTACTAGTCACGCATGTGTATGACTTGTACTGCATACCGCTTAACATGTGCATGTTCAGTAAACGGTTCTGATACGACGTGCATGCTAAAGGTTAACTCGAGTTTTGTACTCAATCTTGAATGATGATCTTTAGCCTTAGTTTAGGGTGGAAGCAGCAGTCTGATGGATCAGACTCTCTGAATACTTGGACGGTCGTTATATTTCTGGAGTGGTGAGCGAGGTCGGGGGGGGGGAGAGAGAGAGAGAGAGAGAGAGAGAGAGAGAGAGAGAGAGAGAGAGAGAGAGAGAGAGAGAGAGAGAGAGAGAGAGAGAGAGGGAGGGAGGGAGGGAGGAGGGAGGGAGGGAGGGAGGGAGGGAGGGAGAGAGAGAGAGAGAGAGAGAGAGAGAGAGAGAGAGGGGGGGGGGGGAGGGAGGGAGGGAGGGAGGTAGGGAGAGGAGAGGAGAGGAGAGATGAGAGAGAAAGAGGAGAAAAATGTGGAGAGAGAGACAGACAGACAGACAGACAGACAGACAGACAGACAGACAGACAGACAGATAGACAGACAGAGACAGCCCTTGCAGTTGTGGAACAAGCGCGGTACCTGGGCGTAATGGTAGATGGGCAGCTCTCCTGGGAGCCTCACGTCAATCACATAATCCAGCAGATGCGGAAGTCAGTAGGTGCGCTGTGGCGGAGCCGCCGAAGCCTCACCCTGGCGTCAAAGATCCTGTTTTACAGGTCGATGATCCACGGTAGGTTGTCGTAGGCTTCCAACGCCTTTTATCCGGGGGGTGGGGGAGAGAGAGAGAGAGAGAGAGAGAGAGAGAGAGAGAGAGAGAGAGAGAGAGAGAGAGAGAGAGAGAGAGAGAGGGGGGGGAGGGAGGGAGGGAGGTAGGGAGAGGAGAGATGAGAGAGAAAGAGGAGAAAGAGAAAGAATGTGGAGAGAGAGAGAGAGAGAGAGAGAGAGAGAGAGAGAGAGAGAGAGAGAGAGAGAGAGAGAGAGAGAGAGGGAGGGAGGGAGGGAGGGAGGGAGGGAGGGAGGGAGGGAGGGAGGGAGGGAGAGGAGAGGGGAGGGGGGGAGAGGAGAGAGAAAGAGGGGAGATGAGAGAGAAAGAGACAGAGACAGACAGAGACAGCCCTTGCAGTTGTGGAACAAGCGCGGTACCTGGGCGTAATGGTAGATGGGCAGCTCTCCTGGGAGCCTCACGTCAATCACATAATCCAGCAGGTGCGGAAGTCAGTAGGTGCGCTGTGGCGGAGCCGCCGAAGCCTCACCCTTGCGTCAAAGATCCTGTTTTACAGGTCGATGATCCACGGTAGGTTGTCGTACGCTTCCAACGCCTTTTATCCGTCACTTCAAATTGGCAACATGGAGCCCCTCACACGTCTAACGAAGTGCGCTATCCGCGGCTTCTTCGGTCTGCCACCGTGGTCGCGCACGAGCCCGATTTTTGAACAGCTCCGCCTCACCACCCTGGAGGACATGTTTAACATTAAGCTCCTCATCTTTGTCCGTCGTTGTCTGTTCTCCCGAGCTAGCTCCCTCTTCACCAGCTTGTTCGTGAGAGTTACTGGTGACCGCACTCGGGGAGCAGCACATCACCTCGTTCGAGTACCATTTTGGCCCGGTCCTGCGGGTCGAGCGACCATGCAGTTCATCGGCGCAGTCCTGTGGAACCAGCTCCCGCCTGATTTCCGTTCCGAGCCCAGCCACCTTCAGTTCTGTGCCCTACTAAAAGCGCATCATGGCTCCGTTTAAATGCTTTTCGGCTAGTGTGTTTCTGTGGTATAGCGGACTGAAGAATAGTAAACGTGTTTTGCAATAATAATATATGTATGAAGCTATTTTATACATAGTATGTTCCCATTCCGTTTTTGCTTTGGTGTAGCCCTGAGGTTGATTGTTTATTTATTTCTACCCTTTCTCTCTCCGTACTTCGGTCCCCCCCCCCCCCCCCTCTCTCTCTCATTCCTTCTGTCGTCCACATGTATCAAAGGAGGCGAAATCGCCTGTTTGTGGTGCGACGTTAAATAAACTTCTACAACAACAATAACAGAGACGGAGAGAGAGACAGACAGACAGACAGACAGACAGACAGAGAGTTCTGCGGCATATCGTCGCTATGACTATAATGCTACTTTTAGAAGAGGGTCAACATAATGATTTGCGTCCACTGATGGCAGGCCAGTGTGATACATGTGCATGGCTAGCACCAGTCATGAGCAGAGCACCAGTCACTCTGTTGCAGGTGACAGTATGCAGCAATCTTGAAGCTCTGCAGGTGTTTCTGGGCTGGCTGCTTGTCCAGAATTGCCTGTGGCAGTCTATTCCACACTGGCACGATGCAGTATGGGGAAGAGCGCAGAAGGTAGTCAGGAGCTCGTGGCGAGAGATTCAGCTCAAGCTGGTGGGGATGGTGCTGTGCTTGGGCTGCTCGTGTGCGGCGATGACGTGGCGGTATAGCCGGCGGGGGGCACATGGCTGCAACTTGAGGCAGACCATGGCCACACATCAGTTTGTACCGTAGACAGAGAGCAGAGACCTTTCGCCGAACAAGGAGGCTGGGAAGAATGGTACCAGGGCCAATGACATTTAGGGCACGGAGCTGGACAGCATCCAGCGTGGCCAGGTGTGAGGGAGCTGATCCCATCCACGCAAGGGGGGGGGGGGGCATATTCCAGCATTGGCCGGACGAATCCTTTGTAGACAGTCACCCTGCCCGCGTGGCTGAGGAGGGGTGCTGCCTTCCGCAGGAGGCCCAGCCGCTGCTTAGCACGTGATGCAACTTGCCGAAGGTGGAGTCTGTAGCTCAGTTTAGAATCAAACATCACTCCGAGCACCTTCACAGATTCATCTGGTGGGAGAGGAGTTCCGCCAAATGACAGCTGGGGAGTCACTGTATCCTTCCGCTGGTGCGACAGAGTGATAGTTTGCGATTTCGATGGCTCAAACGCAATCTTCCATCTCTTGCCCCAGGCATGAAGCTCATCTAGGCTGCGTTGTAGTGAGGCATTCGAGGCTTGGTCAAGGAGGGAGTACAAAGTGGTATGTATGTCTTGTAGCAGTTGAGCACTCTTGCGTGGGGTAGTGCCTTTGCTGTTTGCGTTATGCAGAGCTCACTGACTTGTCAGTTTGAGCACTCTGGCAAGGTACGTTCGGGCCTGATTGGAAATTTTTATTTCCATTGCTATCAGGTTCGGCCTCATTTCCTCTGTGCTGCGCTGATGAGTTCAAAAAGAACGAAACAGCATGCTGTCCGCAGATTGAGTATGTATGTATGTATGTATGTATGTATGTATGTATGTATGTATGTATGTATGTATGTATGTATGTATGTATGTATGTATGTATGTATGTATGTATGTATAACTCATAATCACAAGGTGATCGTAGAGGTATTAATCAGCGAGAGAATTGTGAATGATGTCTCTGAATCCAACTCTATCGTGTGCTGCATGAGAGAGAGCATGCAAGGGAAGACCCGTCCAACTTTTAACGTTAAATCCATGATGTCGCGGGCCTTCCTCTCGGTCGAGATCCAGGAGTTGATCCTTGCAGGAAGGGCTTGGAGAAAACGTCATGTCTCGTAACATGGCCAAACCACATCAACTTAAATTTCTTGACTTCGTTCGCTAGCCGCATCCTTGCTCCGATGATGTCATTGATTTCCTCCAGGATAGATTGGTTGGTACGCCGGTCGTGGTATGTTACTCCTAAGAGTCGGCGGAAGCATTTCATCTCGAAGGATGAAATTCTTCTCATTGATGAGGCAGATAATGGTATCATCAGCAAAAGTGTTCAGGTTTGTGCCATGCGACAAGCAGCTTGAAATGTCGTTTACGGACACGAGTAACAATGTAGGTCCAAGGATACTATCTTGTGGGACGCCAGACTGGACAGGGTGCACCGATGAGCTCTGGCCATGAACAACAGCTTTAATGGTGCGACATTGCAGGTAGTGGGTAAGCCATGCGAGCAGTGAACCCCCTATCCCCAGCTGGTGGGCCTTGTAAAGTACGCCAGCATGAGACACTTTTGTCAAAAGCCCCCGCTATGTCCACGGCAACTGCTTGCATAGCTCCACCTTGTGCCATGGCATTGGCCCACGCATACTGTAGGACAGTCAGGAGGTCTGCAGCTCCGGTGCCACGACGAAAACCGTACTGACGAGTATTCAGCAGACGGTGGCGTTCCAAGAAGTTGACAAGCTGGGAGTTGACTACACTCTCCATTACTCTCGACAGGATGCTGAGGAGAGACACAGGTCGAGAATTCGAAACAATTGACTTGGAGGACTTCTTGTGTATGGTGGACACATGGGCTAGTTTCCAGGAAGCTGGCTGGACCCCTGCTCTGAAGCAGCAAGAGAACAAGCGAGCAGCAGGCTCTGCCAGCTCCCTGTGGCATTCCTTGAGGACTCTAGCTGATATGCCATCGGGGCCAGTGGCCTTGTGCGGATTTAGCGCCGCTAGTTGACGACGGACATTGGCTGGACGAAAGTGGATGGCTGTGATCTGAGGTGCCGAGGCATCAAGTTGCACAGCAGGGAGCTGATCAGAGGCAGAGAAATCGTCGGAGCCGAGGCTGCACTTCGTAGCAAAGTATTAGGCAAAGCACTCGGCTTTCTCCCTCGCAGTGGTGTGCTCGTGTCCAGATCTGTCGACCAGGACAGGTATATTATCGCTTTGGCGGCTAACACCAGCAGCTCGCTTAATAGCTGTCCACCATTGCTTGTCTTGCAAGGAGCCAGATGACAGCTTTCTAGAAGCTCGCTCCTTGCATTGCTGTTGCAGTGTTGGGCATGATGCAGAACATGTACACAGTGTGTAACGGATGCCAGTAAGGTTTCTTTCTCTTGCAAGCTATCAGGGTCTTGCCTCCAGACTCTCCAGGCTTGTTGCTTTAGGTGCACCGCTTGTTGGCAGGCAGGTGTCCACCAAACCGGGTCAGTGGCCATTACTTTAATGGTCTTGGAGGGAATAAACTGAGACATGGCATCACGCACAAATCCTGTGAGGGCTTCACAAGCAGCGTCAGGGTCATTTGATAGGACAGTTGGCCAGTTAATGCGGCTAAGATGTGCGCGCATCCTTCCCCAGTCTGCTCTAGCATACTGCCAGACGGTTCTTAGGGCCGGTTGCTCCTTGCACATGATAACACTCCTCTGTCACGCGTAGATCTACGTTCCTCTTTCCTTTCTTTCTGCCTCTGACATGATACTACTCCTCTGTCACGCGCACATTTCCTCTTTTCTTTCTTTCCGCCTCTGACATGATACTACTCCTCTGTCACGTGCACATTTCCTCTTTTCTTTCTTTCTGCCTCTGACAGTGACATGCTCTCCAGCTCTGTCACGTTACACACCTCTGTCACGTTACACACCTCTGACACGTTAGCCCGCCTCTGTCATGCATCTCTCTGTCCGCTTCCTGCTTTCAGTCTGACTTTTATAGTTTCGGCCTTTGTGCCACGTTGTTAACAAATTTCACACACGCAGCGCTCTCGCTTGTACATATGACTTGTACTGTATCATATTTTTTCTCTTTCCGCCTTGTACATGCCGCGCTTCCTTTCTCTTCTCTCTCTTTTTTCTTGTTTTAATATCGTGCTTCGCTCCTAGATCCTCCCGACCTTAGCTGGTGCACCACTAGCACTGGCGGAGCTGAGAGAGGAGTACTGACTGTAGCGACGTCACACACTGTCTATTACGTCACTATCACATAAGCATGCGCAAGAAAATAAAACATTCTCTTTGGTCTCAACTGTAAAACCGGAAAGTCTAACGAGTCACAAAGTCTAAAGTTTTAACGACCAATTCTTTTTCGTTATTTTGAAAATACGTTATCGCTAGATGTCTGTGTAAAGATGCGCATACAGATATGGGTGGCCAGGCAGCCATCGTTAGACTTTCTGGACGTAATCATGCCAAAATTACAAAAACACTTTACTCTTTAGTTTAGGGTTTTACGTCGGGCCCCAGACGACGGCTACTAGACTTTGGGCGGACAACAAATAACTTACTGCAAAACCGGAAAGTCTAACGACCAGAAAGTCGTTAGACTTTCCGGTTTTGCAGTAAGTTCTTTGTTGTCCGCCCAAAGTAGCCGTCGTCTGGGGCCCGACGTAAAACCCTAAACTAAAGAGTAAAGTGTTACTTTATCGGAACAGGCGCACGGACGGTAGACCTACCGATACGCCGGTAGGTACTACACAAAATAATTGTAGGTCTTCAGCAGTACTGGGCAGGTCGAGATTCAAAGTTCTTACATGACACGTGATCGTTGCCGGGGCCATGGCCAATAGGCGATCTTCCCGCCGCGGGCATAATCAGGCCATCAGGACCGTTTGACGTCATTTCGGGAGTTTCAGGACCGTTTGACGTCATTTCGGGAATGTTCGGACCGTTTGACGTCATTTCGGGAATAATTTTTCGACCTTTCGACCTTTGACCTTCCCTAATATGTTGCTTCGCGATGTAAGAAATCAAATCAAGCACGCTCTGTCTGTCATGATGGCTGAATCTTGCCCTTGCCTGCAGCCCTCGGGCCTACGGCCCTTGGGCTGCAGGCTCGGGCAAGATTCAGCCATCATCATGATCATGACCTCCTGAGCGTGCTTGAAGGGGAAGTTAAGGCAAAAATTAAAATTTCACCAGTTGTAGTCTTCGGGGTGCTGAGTCGAATGGTCTTGGTCCGAGGAAGCTGAGACGCTCCCTTCCTACTTGAATCCCAATCGAACTCGCGCACTTCCACCGAAACTGGGTGACTGCGCCCTACTAGATGGGGATTTGTATGCAAAATGTCACTAAAAGCGCCGTTTCGTTCTTATAAAAGCACGGATGACCGCGATTGGCCCGTATGTTGTAGTCTTTTGGACGCTGAGTCGACTGGTTTTGGTCCTAAAAGGCTGCGATGCAGCGTTCCTCCTTTATTCCCAATCGAACATGGTTGAAGAAGCGGTCACGTGGTCCTGGGTGCCCAAATCACCTGGTCACCACGCCAGCAGGTGACAACTTTCACACCAAGGTTCAACTCGAGTTCAACTCGAGTGACAGGACTGCACCCAAAAAAGGTCAAACAGGCTAGTAAGTTGTACCCTGCAGGCACGGTGACCAGGTGACTGGTGTACGCAGGAGCACGTGACCCGCTTCTTCAACCATGTTCGATTGGGAATAAAGGAGGAACGCCGCATCGCAGCCTTTTCGGACCAAAACCAGTCGACTCAGCGTCCAAAAGACTACAACATATGGGCCAATCGCGGTCATCCGTGCTTTTATAAGAACGAAATGGCGCTTTTAGTGACATTTTGCATACAAATCCCCATCTAGTAGGGCGCAGTCACCCAGTTTCGGTGGAAGTGCGCGAGTTCGATTGGGATTCAAGTAGGAAGGGAGCGTCTCAGCTTCCTCGGACCACGACCATTCGACTCAGCACCCCGAAGACTACAACTGGTGAAATTTTAATTTTTGCCTTAACTTCCCCTTTAATTACCATGATTACCTACATCAGCTAGTGCCAGTACGGCAGTAGACTACAATCATGTACAAGTACCCGCCAGGGAGTCGTAAATACCAGGGAGTCGTAAAATACGACTCCCTGGTACCCGCATGCTAGTGCCAGTACTGGCAGTAGTAGCGGGGCATCCGGGTACCCGTGTCGTCTCCCACAGTCCCAGGCTCTGTTTGCTGCTCCCTTTTTACAACCATCCTCCGATCTCATCTATTCATTCAACCCATTGACTTCGCTTCAGTATGCTTTCGAGTTTCGAGTTTCTGACAATGCGGTCGTCATGTTCATAATGCTGGAAGGAAAGGTTGTCTTGATCTTACTTTGTGCTGCTATAGTTGCCTCCATTCCTGTGGAAAAGTGCGAAAACCGTACGTATTGCCGACCTGGCTTCAGTGCGATAAGCTCTAAACTGTTTCCTAGAGTTCTCATGATCCAATTTCAAGGGAAATAGGGCTACCGTGAAGTCATTGGTGTCATGGTCCTGTCCTTTTGACGGGGAGATACTTGGGGTAGATCGAGCTACCGATTGTTACTTTCCCTTGGCTAGGTCGAATATCTCGTAGCTTTCTGCTTCGCGAGCTAGCTTCGCGGACCAAAACCCCGTACTTGTACGACAACTGGCTGATAGGCCAGCATGTACTGTAAAGTATGTACTGCAGTGGCATGGCAGGGCTAGCCAACTAGGGGGAAAGGTTGTGTTTTACTCGTACCGCAGAGGAAATGGTCAGCCATCAGGTCACTGTATTTTTCTTCACGTTCCCTGAGTCTTGGTGAGATAGTCCCAAGTGTTGAGGAACAGCAGGTCCATCCACTTCAAGTACGTGAAAAGCATGCAATCTGATAGTGGCATGACCCCCATTATTATTGCACCATGCATGATTATACTGTTTTGATGTCTGTTGCTTACAGTAGCAATACATGTAGCACATGTCAGTTGTGGAAATACTTAGTTGTAGATGCTACAGACAGCAGTTTGTGTGTAGGATTTCTACCCTTCCCAGAAAGGCCGTTGAAGCATCTTGTCCTTTGGTTGTACTATTTCGAAGTGTGTTGAAGTAAGGAACTAGCCGATGTTTGCAGACGGAACCCTTCACCTGTATCTGTGTAGCGCACATGCCTGTGTGCGTGCACATGTGCTTTTGTGTGTGTGTGTGTGTGTGTGTGTGTGTTTGTGCACGCATGCATGCATGTGTGTGTGTGCCTGTGGGTGGGTGTGTTTGTGCGCACACACACACACATGTGTGTGTGTACTGTATAAGCAGAAATATTCGTCTGGAATTTAATTTCGTCTTTTTCGTCCAAGGAGCTTTTGGACTAAATTAAATGCCTGACGAATATCGTTTTGTCCAGCTTTTCAATACACTCTTATGATCCATGGACGAAATTTACAACCGGACGAACTACCTTTCTTTCGAGTTAGACGAAATTATTGACCGACGAAATTTTCTGCTTATACAGTATGTGTCTGTGTGTGTGTGTGTGTGTTTGTGCATCTGTGTCCGTATGTTTGTGCGTGCACGCATGTGTGTGTGTGTGTGTGTGTGTGTGTGTGTGTGTGTGTGTGTGTGTGTGTGTGTGTGTGTGTGTGTGTGTGTGTGTGTGCGTCTATGTCTGAGTGCACGCACAAACAGCTACTAGTAGTAGTATGATAATTCTCCTCTGCTGAGCATGGGAAATCATGTGTGTGACGATGTGTAGAAGCAGCTAAGTCAACTCCTGATATAACGAACACCATTGTGTGCAGGACCATTAGTTCTTTATAGCCAACATTCTTTATAACCGAAATGCACTCACGCCATACAAGCAACACGTCATGACTGGCATGTGTCGGGCCATGCCAGTATGATTGCACTCAGTTTACATGCGGCCCTACAAGATATGGTTCGTTATAAACGAATACTGTTCGCTATGAAGGGTCAACCGTGTACTAGTATGTGTTCAAACAGGCACATGGACACTGGTTCGCTATATCACGGAATTCGAAAATATTCGAGTTCGTTATAAGTCGAGTTGAATGTACTTCTCCTAATACGAACAAACAGACATAGACACAGTGTCTGCTCGAGGATTTCAAATCAACCGGGTACAAGTGTACCTGGTACAACTCTTGCAACTGGGTCAGTCCCGGGTACATTCAGGTGCGATTATCGTACATCAGGGAATCTTAGGACTCCCTGATTGAGTCCCAACCGGGTCACAAGTGACCCGGTGCTCTTTTTCCAAGCGGGTCCAAGTACCCCCAACCGGGTCGCTGATCCTGCTGACCCGACTCTGGAGCAGACACTGACTGACAGTACAAGGCCAGCATCTGCTGATGTGCCTAACACTGCAACGTCCATTATTCATCCTGCAAGCGTGCATGCATTTGGTACGTGCTGCATGATTATACACCCAGTCCGGTAAATTGGTTACGGGCATACATGATATACCGTGCAGAATGGCAAAACCCTGTCCCAGCAACCAGACGCGGACCAGCCTATCGCTAGGCTTTTGAATGGCGAGCGGCCTCCGAAACCAGGTGATGCTGGCCGTAGTCGGCCGTGTCGGCTGGGTCACCTTACCAGAGTGGTTGTCCTGAAAGATTTCGCCGTGCCATGTGTGTGCGTGCTGTGATCCAGTGACGTATGGTATGTTGTTTTTCTTCTGAAATTCGGTGCCGCTCTCTTGCTGCATGTTGTGTTGCAACAGGGCGCCCACTTGACGAGCACATTCAGCACTTTGAGCCCGTCCACTACGACTTGGAGGAGTTTGGCCATCGGCATCGCCGCGCCGTCAGGAACGTGCGCGACCTTGGTGAACGGCACGAGGTAGCGATTCGCTTCCATGCCCATGGAAGGTGAGTGAATACCCCCCCCCCCCCCGAGTGGACACTGGAGAAGTATCATGGTTAGGTCAGGAGTTGAGATGTTGGTATGGTGGGGCAATACAATGCAAGCACTGGTTGCCGCTAAACAATTAGCACAAGATCATGTCGTTAGCATAGCTTCTATGTTGAGAGTGCATTATACTTGTTTGTCTGGTTAGGTCGTGTATGGGTTGGGGGGGGGGGGGAGAGGAGAGGGTTGAATGAATGTGTGTGTGTGGGGGGGGGGGAGGGGAGAGGGTTGAATGAATGTGTGTGTGTGTGGGGGGGGAGGGGGGGGGTGCGTGTGCGTGTGTGTGTGTGTGCTCTGTCCTGTGGGTTATGTCCCGTGTCCTATGTCCTGTGCGTTATGTACTGTGTGTCAGGCATTTTCATCTCAGCCTGCGGCCGGACACGTCCGATTTAGCGAGCCATGCCGACATTCGTCTGCATACCGCAGAGGGCTATGAAGTCGCTCACGACTATGACCCAAACAGCTTCCTTGTCGGTCATGTAGTGGATGATACGGGCTCTAAAGTGGCAGCATTCAACGATGACGGGATTATGTCAGCCAACATACATTGCTCCCACGGTAGCTACTATCTGAAGCCGGCTAGAGACCACTTCAACACGTCGCAGACGTTCCATAGCGTTATCTATCGGCAAGCAGACATCTCCACATGGCCCGTGTCCATGCTGAGAAATGCGACGATGCGCCCCAAGCTCGAGAAGCAGTCTCTGTGCGGCGATGCCGGGGGACGCCTGGAAGACGACGACCATGACATCATGGCTGAAAGCGCTCAGCAGCGCCAAGAATACTTTGAGAAGGTCAAATCCGGCCGGACGCGGCGGGTAAGTGCGGTCGCTTTGGAAGATCATTTCTCGCAGTCTCCATTCATAGGTGCTTTGAACTGTTGATGTGGAAATTATTTTCACAGGAAGACAAATGCAAATAGTCTCAAAACTCTCAAAACATGTGCGTTTTCTGATCATGCTGTCACGCTGTAAACCGGGAAACGTTTTCAGTCTGGATTCGCTTGCGATTCTCGCTGTGGGTGTGAAACTGGCAGAAATAAGCCAGCACGAAAACGTAGACCTGCAGTGTGTTATTGCGCAATGGGCTTAGAACTAATGAGATCCACCCCAATCACGTACGTTTCCAGGTGAAAATTGGTCTGTGCTCGCAGATCGCTAACTAAAACTGGCGCAAATATTTCTCGGTTTACACTTAACAGCAGGTTGAGACTCGAATAGTATAATAATTATTAGCCGCATGGCGAACATCTTGGATGACTACTCCATATTGAATATTTCGGACAAGACACCCATGTCACCAACAACACTTAGTTCAGCTTGTGCGTATTGCCTCTTTCGTCCCCTCCGTAGGAAACCAAGCGTCGGTATGCACGGTTTGTGTGCACGGTAGCTCTATACGCCGACTACCACTTCTTCTCAAGCAAAGCCGGTAGCGATAAGAATCGAGCCATCTCTGTCATGCGCCTTCACGTCAGCAAGTCCAACAACATCTTCACGACGTCGGATTTCGATTCAAACGGCGATCCTGATGGGGTGAGTGACCTAGGTGACACATGCTTCTGCAGAGTACACTCGTGTGATAACTGGCGAGTGAGTGGGCCCTTGGTGAAGCGTACAAAGGCAAAGGTTTTGTTCAAATGTGACCGACTCTGCGCCGCTTATCCATCATATTCTCCGCATGGTGATATGAATCGGACTTCACTGACTTTCCAGAGGGGCCAAAGCCCCTGTTGTCTGCATGGCCCTTTGTTTGCTGTGTGCCTGCGTGTGTGTAGGTGTGTGGGTACGTGGGTACGTGGGTGTCTGTGCCCCCCCCCCCATTCACACACATGGACGAGCGCACTAACGCTCGAACGCCTGCGCGCATGTACACACACACACACACACACACACACGCATACACACACACGCACGTGCACACACACACACACGCACGTGCACACACACACACACAATAATTATGATCTCACTCTGGTCTCTTTTCGCTCTGTGTTGCACAACTGCAGTTTCGCTTCAAGATCGGTCGCATCACCATTGTAACTGACAGCACCACCGGGCCTTTTGCCGGCCCGACGGATCATTACAACACAGGCGGTGCTGGAGGAAAGGCTATTGACACAAGGCTGTACCTACGAGTGTTCAGTACAATTTCCGGTCACGAAGACTTCTGCGAAGCAATCGCCTTCACCAATATTGACTTTGACAATGGCGTCCTAGGACTGGCATATTTGCGGCCATCAGGAATCTGCGCAGAGAAGCACGTGAGTGTAGCAAACGGTCATGTCCTGCTCGTGTCCTGGGCATGTCCTGGTCATGTCCTGCTCGTGTCCTGCTCATGTCCTGCTCATGTCCTGGTCATGTCTTGCTCGTGTCCTGGTCTTGTCCTGGGCATGTCCTGGTCTTGTCCTGGGCATGTCCTGGGCATGTCCCGGTCTTGTCCTGGTCATGTTCTTGTGGCGATGTGTACGTGTCCTGCCTGTTGTTGAGTCGGAAATAAATAATATACTGACCTGTGATACACATGCATAAGCCCATTGTGCATTGCCAAATATGGAAGGTATGAGTAATGCATGTGAGTACACTGGGACCAGCAATGCACTGTTCAACACCCCACACGACCATGCCCAGGTGGCTGTGTGGGATGTTATGTGAGTACGCTGGGATCAGCAATGCACTGTTCAACACCCCAGACGACCATGCCCAGGTGGCTGTGTGGGATGTTCGCGGTACAAAAATTATTTCATTGCGCAATGGGCTTGTTGCGTACGGGGCTTCGTCCGTCCCAGAGCAAGCTCGTGCCTGGGAGCTGTGCTGGAGGGGCACAGGTTTTGCCATGCCCTCCAGCACTGCGTACACCAAAACCTTCTGTCGGTGACCACCAGTGCGATCGACTGGCCTACAGCAGCCTTTGAACGCAAGTGGTCTCTTGGACCAGTGTGGCTCTCGAATAATCCACACAACTGGCGACTAAGAGGACCGGTCTTACAGGTGGTTGCCGAGGGGTCGGTGGAAAAGTTGTTTTGTCGTCCCTGAAACAAATCCCTGGCATACCTGATGAGGGCAATTTGCCGAAACGTTGTAATACTGTAGAACGGGTAATTTTAGCGACGTAAAAACCCTAGCGAATTTAACGATCGACTCATTTTCGCTAAAGTAACAAAAATCGCTAATCCGTTGAGACATTAGTAGTGCACTGGTGATCCGTGAGTTCAGTACTGTTCATCAGTCAATTCACTACTGGACTGTACATTTATTTATTTTATTTATTTAGTATTTATTACAGCACCTCATAGCACAGTGAGAACACCGGCCAATACAAAGAGAGAGGGTGTTAGCCAACCACGGCAAGGAAGGGCGAAGGGGAGGAGAAGAAAAAAGAAACCGGCATGGATAGGCAGTGATTGCAACAAAATGAGAAACACAAAATACATATCAGTAGTAGGAGTAAGTAGTTTTACTAGTAGTCTAGTACTAGTAAGGCAATTATTAGCACATGTTTTATGATGTACTAGCACTCATAGTACACGGTAGTGATGGTTTGTACATACAGTAGTAGAATGCAGTATCAAAATGTGTACAATGAAGAAAAATGCAATCGCTATAATAAAACGTCGCTTATCGCCCCTCCCCCCGAGACACACACATCATAGCACCATAGAATGGGGTTGCATTTTTGTTGTTTTTGCCATGTGATTAAGCAATCACGAGTGAAACGAGGGTTGCCTGCTGCTCCTCGTTGCTAGTCTTGAAGAAGAAAAAAAAATCACGCCCATCTGCTGCTGCTGCTAGCTGCCAATATTGATGCTGTCCCTGCGTTCGCCACCTCCAACTGCTGAGGTGCCTCGTGCTGTGGCACTACCACACCTTGGTCCGCCCTGCGTTGATCCGGCATCGTACTCTCGTACTCTGCTATGCTGCCGTACTCTCGCGTTGTGGCCTCGTGGGTACGTCTTACGCTATTTGCGCTTGCCACGTGCTTATGCGGCCCGCCTTACCTGGTGGGCTCTCGCGCCTTATTTCCCATATAAGCATGGTGGTGTCTGTCATTGTGGACCGGGCGGCATCCGGGGACTTCGCCTCTTCCATACGTGGTATGTTTGCTCCGCCACACCGCCTGTTCTATCTTGCGTACTCGGTTAGTACTGTACCTTGGCTGAGGCTTAGTACGCGCGCTGGAGTCCTTTCGTGCCATGAAAGGAACTGCTTCCTAATATAGAGATTAGGCGCCATGAGCCCTGCTTGTAGTAAACATTGCATTAGTAGCGCTGATACCTTTATGCAAATATGGGGTAGTCTCGCCCGCGCATATGGGCGTACTCGTACTGCGGCCTGGGCTTTCCCCAGTACGGCTGCCCGTCATTGCATGCCAGACAGCCCCATTGTTGCGCGCCTAGCCACGCGCGTGGCTTTTGCCTGCTGCTCGGTTGTCAGCGATAACTACGGTTTGCCGTACGCTGCAAACCTACATTAACCGGTTGACAATGGGAAAACGCTAAAATTAATAGTCGCTAGAATTATCCGTTCTACAGTAACTGATTGATAAACAAGTTCCGGATAGTGTTACAGAGGAAATGGGAAGGAGCGGGTCGGCTCTAGAACACCTCTTCCTGAAGCAAACATCGTTCACTTCGTACTCTGAAAGCCCTCTCTGTCCTAATGTACACAGTTTGCTATGCATCGCATGCATGCACAGCTGCGCTGACTGAAATCCGACCCAAAGTGCAAAGCTTGCGCCGGCCCTTGACCAGTTCCGATTACATCACTGTATTTGTATATGTGTATGTCCAGCCGCATTCCTGCCACTTCCAGGGCGTCGAGGGCCGTGCAAGCTGAGGGCGCGGCGCCATTATATGCACTCTGGGTCGGATTTCATTGAGCGCAACTGTACATGTACAGTATCAGTCAACTTGCGATGTTGAACGATGAATGAACGATGTTCGTTTCAGGACGGCAAAACAACTTTTGCGACGACCCCTACTAGACAAAGTGGTTGCCCAGACCAGGTGATTGCTAAGACGAGGTGACTGCTAAGACCAGGTGATTGCTAAGACCATGTGATTGCTAAGACCAGGTGATTGCTAAGACCAGGTGACTGCTAAGACCAGGTGCAAGGTGATTGCTATGACCAGGTGATTGCTAAGATCATGTGATTGCTAAGACCAGGTGATTGCTAAGACCAGGTGATTGCTAAGACCAGGTGATTGCTAAGATCATGTGATTGCTAAGACCAGGTGATTGCTAAGACCAGGTGATTGCTAAGACCATGTGATTGCTAAGACCAGGTGATTGCTAAGACCAGGTGACTGCTAAGACCAGGTGACTGCTAGGACCAGGTGATTGCTTGACAGGTATCCCCTACTAGTTGTAGTATTTTGTTGTTGCTTACGTTGTTTCCTGTGCTTTCTGACTTCTGATCTTCTGTTGAAAACAACAGAGAAAGGCTAATCCCCCGTTCCAGTTGAACGGCCAGACATACGATACTTTCACGGCAAACACAGCTTTTGTCTCATTTGTCAATCACGGAGTGCCACAGAATGACGGCATCACCGAAATCGTCTTCGTGCACGAGCTCGGTCACAACTGGGGCACCGGGGTGAGTCCTGACCTGATGCTGATGCTGCTCTTGTGTGTGTGTGTGTGTGTGTGTGTGTGTGTGTGTGTGTGTGTGTGTGAGAGAGAGAGAGAGAGAGAGAGAGAGAGAGAGAGAGAGAGAGAGCTCCTCATAGTTGATCTGCTACGTGGCAATGCGTAGGTGCCGCTTTGCTCTGCTTTCTTTGTACTGACTTTGTTCCTCCACTGCTTTGCCAACCCCTCCACCTGTGTGATACCCCAGCATGATGACAGGAACGGCGTTCCAGTGTCGGATGCGGCCTGCGTGCCAGGAGCGACCAGCACCAATGGAAATTTCATCATGTTCAGCAAGGCGAGCGACGGCACAAAGCCCAACAACGGTGTCTTCTCCACGTGTAGCCGCAAGAACATCAACAGCAATGTGGACAGTCTGCAGCGGAGCAGGCCCGACTGCTTTTCAGGTGCGTACAATGTACAGCACTGCTCAATGAAATCCAGTCGCGTCACTCAAGTACGCCCCGGGCGTTGCGCAGCCCTAGACCTGCGAACACGGGACCGTGAAGTGGTGTATGCACAGCGCAAACTTGAGTGGCACGACTGGATTTCATTGAACAGCGCTGTGCATATCAGCATGTGCGCTGTCGTACTGCCTTGGCCTACGGCTGCCGCGCAATCTAGGGCAAGTGCTAATGTTTCCATGCAAAATATATATTTCTTCCAGGTCCGTGCGTGGTTACTGATTTCCCTCCAAAAACAAAAACACAAGATTTTAGGATGTTTCATCTCTTTATTCTCTGTTGTTGTTGTCGTCGTTGTTGAATTCTTTATTCTCACGATGGCACCATCGCCAATAAGAGATAGTTGTTGTTGTTGTTGTTGTTGTTGTTGTTGTTGTTGTTGTTGTTGTTGTTGTTGTTGTTGTTGTTGTTGTTGTTGTTGTTGTTGTTGTTGTTGTTGTTGTTGTTGTTGTTGTTGTTGTTGTTGTTGCAACTGCGCTTGACTGACACTGCAGATGACCCGGACGCATTCTGCGGTAATGGTGTGGTAGAGGAAGGCGAGGAGTGTGACTGTGGGACTGGCGCGTGTTCCGATGCATGCTGCAACCAGTACAACATCAGCGACAAATCGGGCAACTGCAAGGTCAACAAGACGCGAGGTTTCACTTGCAGGTGAGCTCGTCACTCTGCGGACGGTGTTTGAATGCGGCATTAGCGTGCATGTGCTCCGCATTGTATGATGCATTCACCGCCAGGGGCTCTTCCGACTGGCACGACCACGTGTGTGATGCCCGTACACACTGCGTTCGTATGGTCATGTTGCCACACAGCTCAGCTGTCGTAGGAGCCGGTGACTCCGTTAGCGTCTGTGGCACTGTACAGGCTGGGCTGTACTTGCACAGCCAATAGTGTGAAGCTCCTGTATTGAGCTGCGATGCACTTATTGCATCATTATTTTAAAATTGTGATCAAGTGCATTTATGAAACCTGACTCCAGCACTCCAAGTATGATCTCTACACTGCGAATCAAATCAAAATACTAGTATGCTCCACCAAATTTTCGGGCCTGGCCCATTGTCGGGGTGAAAGATCGAGTGTATTTGCTTTTTCGCGCTTTTCATGTAGATACTAGTAGTAGGTACAGTCACGGTGTCAGTTCATCAGGTTCCGGACACGTGTGTCGTCTCGGGTTGAGCACGAGCTGCCTCTACGATATCCTCGCCACGCCACACATCAAACGGACTAGTCAAATTGAGAGAGAGCTTTTCTTGTATTTCACTTCAGGAGGCGACTGGAGAACTGAACTCCCACAAGACAGGGCAAGAGAATATATTGTGGGGACGTGGAAAAAGTGGGGACAAAGTGGGGCGATGGAGACAAAAGAGGTGCTCAAAAGTGGGGCGCGGAGGCGAAAGAGGTGCATATGAATAGTACAACAAATCCCGAACGGGACGGGAGACAAAGACGGCAGACGAGGAAATACGACGGACACAAGACGGCAACCAGACAAATACAACGGAGAGAAGACCAGAAAATGCGTATACAACGGGGACGAGATGAGAAAGAATGCATACGGAGGGGACAGAAGACGGTGCAGCGGCATTTACAAAGCATTCCAAGACAGCGCAGCAGCGTGTACCACGGGTCAGCAGCATGTACAACACAGAGACACAAACGCAGCAGCACGTACGACGAAGAGACATAAACGCAGCCACGTGTACGACAAAGAGACACAAGCGCAGCCACATGTACGACAAAGAGCTACACACGCAGCCGCATGTACAACACAGAGCTACAAGCGCAACCACATGTACAACACTATCCCCTACCAAAAAAAGACATCCACTCCTGTGGATGGAAGCAAGTGTATTAAAAAAAACGGAAGGAGGCAGACCGGAGAAGAAGACAGAAAGACCGGGGAAATGAAATGTGAAACAACATAAACAGGCGACAATAAAAACACAAAAGAAGTGGGGTCACAACTGTTGAACGCATGACGAGTAGGCCAGGAGGGTTAACACCAGTCGGGAGCCCCGCAAAACTGTGCACCAATCAATCGGAACCTGCAAGCAACAGATTTTGCAGAGGACCCTGGCTGGCGAGCTGTTCGACCTGTGGTTGTCCCTTTGGATCTTGATTCTTAGAACAGCACCAACCTAGTGCGCCACCCATCCAACAGTCGTGACAAAACAAATTACAAATGCAAGAGAAAAATGCAGCTTACGCGGGGTCGTTGTAACAATAGATGTCCACCAAGGGAACAACATCGGAGAAGTCCTCCAGAACAGGAGGCGTAGCTGGCCGCGGTGCAGGTGAGGAAGGTGCTGATAATGTTGACAGAAATTCAGGTGACATGCATGGTGCTACTACAGTCTGCTGCGCTGCCCGGCGGACTTTGCGGCGCTGTCTTGAGCGGCGAGACCGACGGCGCACACGGCGAAGCAGCGGGGTTGCCGTAGATGTCGTTGGACAAAGCGGAGGAGGCAACGGATTAACTGGGAGAGAGCACTCCGAAATGTTGCAAAAGAAGGATCCACGAGCGGGATTCGAACCCAGCACCCCTGTCTTTCCGGGACAGTGCCCTACCGAATAGGCTACCGGGGATCACACACACTCATGGGTCCTTCTTGCTACACTGCTTCCCCGCCCCAACAGGCTGTGTCCTAGTAGATCCTCACGCCGTACCTACTCGCGGGGGGTACGATGGGTCGTGGGTTCGAGCCATTGCCAGGCGCCAATGTTATCAATAGGGTTTTGTTAGGTTCACACCAGACCACCAGTCCAGAGATACCAGTTTATTATAGTTGAGAGTCTTTTACTTCACGGGACGAGGACAGATTATTGACACCAGCATTAGGGAAAGGATTTGACTACCCGACCCTGTCATGGCGAAGTAGACGGAAGTCGGGGCCGCGGCGGCGCGATAACTAGAACGAGAAAGAAAAGTAACAAAAACAACCGAAACAACTGGAGCACGCAGCCTCAACCAATCATCACCCCTTCCACGGAAGCTGACCCTGCCCTGCCTCCAAGGCGACGTAACCCCCAGGCGACAACACACATGAACGTTTGGGTCGGGGCGTGCCTGGCCGGGGCGGGGACGGAGGAGAATCCGGAGGGGACGGGGGGTACCCAGAGGGGAACCCAGGGGTGAAGGAGGAGGAGTGGGGACCAAACCCGGGGGCTGAACCATAACGGGAGCCAGAGCCACAGGGTGGGGTGCCAAAAAACGGGGCGGGAAAAAACATGGCTGGACCCCCCCCCCCCCCCATAGATGGCATCGCCGTATTTTCAGGCGGAGACACTCCCTGCTGTACCCCTGGGGGAACCACTACCTTACCATGGACAGCCCGTAACCAAGAGTCCATAACTGAGGAGCAGGTTGAAGCACATCTACTTCGAAATCGATCGGGTCTTCATGCCGTGTGCCAAGAGCTATTTCCATCAAATCTTGTAAATCTATATCCATGCCTATTCCTGCTATCCCGGAGTCACGAACTCTCCCAATACAAGCTTTTCAGACAACGAGCAGAGAAACTCTCTTCAAATAAAAAAATTCTGTGACTGTGAAATCAAAGCCGTTCTGCTGACACTGCATAGCCCGTGGAGCAAACGTTTTACGTGACACTTCCGTGGCTTGCTTCAAAGCAACCTTCAACTTGGAACCCCCGCCGGATGTACCAGATATGCACATGGCCCCATCCGCCCATGCTTGCCCGGGGACCGGATGACGCAATGTTTGGATTTCGTTGCGCCAGACCCCAACCTGGAGTTGCACACTCTGGGGGGTTATGGACTCTTGCCGTAACCGATCGGTGTGCACCGTTAAATGCTTAGCATGGCGGGGCGAAGGAGGGGGCCCCACCCGTACAATGGAACACACCACCCCCTTAATTACTTCTACCTGCCAGGGCCCAGTCCAGGGGCAAAATAGCTTAGGGCTGGCACCCGGGGGCGGAACTGCATGGAGCCAGACATAGTCACCTGGTTGAAAACTGGGAGATTTCACCCTCCTATCATAAGTAGATTTAGCCACCCTATGTGCCACTCCCAGACGATCTCGGACTACACCAAACGCCCTAGCCAAAGATGACCGCAAATTTGTGATATATGCGGGCAGAGGAGTAACTTGATGGGTCCCCGGGGCAGGGAGAAAAAGATCAAGGGGTAAGCGGGCCTCCCTCCCAAATAGCACAAAATGAGGGGTAAAGCCCGTAGCACGGTGGACACCCGTATTGTAAGCGAATTGTACAAGAGAAAGGTGGCGGTCCCAGGATGTTTGGTCGTCCGCGACATAGGCCCGGAGGGCCACCTGAATCGTGCGGTTTGCCCTCTCGACAAGACCATCTGACTGTGGCCGGTAAGGGGTGGTGCGGGACTTACAAACCCCCAACAATTTACATAAAGAGGATATGAGGCGGCTCTCAAAATTAGGGCCCTGGTCCGAATGTAATTGGTAGGGGACTCCAAACTTCAAAAATACCCGGTCAACCAAACGGTCCGCTACGGTCTCGGCTTTCATGGATCCACCGTGCATTGTTCTGCTTCGACCGGCGTAGATGTGATGAACAAGATTTGGTGCTTTGCCCTGTTGGTCTCTGACCAGTGGCTACGCACGATGGCATCGGTGTACTCAATGGCTGCCAAAGACTCCCATTTGGCCTAAGCGAAAACTAGGCAGGCTTGCTTGGTGATGAAAATGCAAAAAGGCTGATGATAATAATAATTAAAAAGGCTACATGGAGATAGAAATGTAATTAACGCAATAAATTGAGCAAGCTGCGCACTCAGTACAAACACCATAAGCAAATCTTGTTTTCATGTGTAGTTATTCCTTGAACGTTTTCGTGGCCAACTCTTCAGAAGGATTACTGGCAAATCAAAATAGATTCAAAACTCAATATAAATACGCACAATGCAAGTAGTAAATTAGACCCTATTTAGCGCAAACAATGAGAGTTGAAAGAAAATTATACCAATCAAGGATATCAGGTGACAAAAAATGAGACAAATTCACAACCAGAAAGTAACCATGCAATCAAAAAAGAAGTGAGAACTACTGATCTAAATTCACAAACAATTTCAGTGTAAACAAATTCTTTTTCTGCCTGCACAAGATCGGTTTGGTGGTAAAGATGTTGATAGACTCCAATACACGCACAATTTAATATCTTTGACTACGTGAACGAGGCCACACGTACACATGCATGGTTACTTTCTGGTTATGAATTTGTCTCATTTTTTGTCACCTGATATCGTTGATTGGTATAATTTTCTTTCAACTCCCATTGTTCGCGCTAAATAGGGTCTAAGTTACTACTCGCAACGTGCGCAGTCCGCGCGCGGTCCGCACACCGCCCGCGCGGACCCAGCACACACGTTCTAAAAGGGGCATATACGTTCTAAAAGGGGCATATACGTTCTAAAAGGGATAGGGACCAGGGAGTCGTAAAATACCGGCCCTGATAGGGACAACATAACTACCGTATATGCACGAATAGAAGGCTTTCAAAAATTTATCACTCTCTTTCACTTCTGGTAGGGTCCAGAAACTGACCGTGGTTGGTCCCCTGGGGGAGGGAGAAAGACCCAAGTGCCATCAGTATGTGTGGCACGTGTTGTGAGCTGCCTTTGGAGTGGAAAACTTGTCAGCGCCTTCTAGGTTCAGCCCGGTCCCATAGCTCAGTGGTTAGACTAGAGCATTGCTCATGACAAGCAAGGTCCCGGGTTCGAGTCCTGGTGGGTCTGGCGATTTTTTCTCTTTTCAGGCAGTTCACTTCCCCAACTGATCCTTTGAATTTGAAGTTCTCCCAATCCTTTCAAAAAAAATAATAATAGTAATTAAAACTCGGATGTTGAGCCATAAATAAATGTAAAAAGGAAAAGGACATATGGATACGAGTTAAGAGCAACTCTCCATCACTGTAACTGGATACTATATACAGTCAGAAAGTGCAATAACTAGGCACTTTGGTCTTTCCATAACCTTGAACCTTCCAAGTTGGAAGGCTGTCGGTTAGCGCTACGGAGATGTGTTGAAGCTAGGTGTCAGGACGTCAAATGTCTCAGTACTCTGTCAGTGTTGTGCCTAGTTATTGCACTTTCTGACTGTATATAGTATCCGGCTACAGTGATGGAGAGTTGCTCTTAACTCGTATCCATATGTCCTTTTCCTTTTTACAATAATAATTTACGCAATAAATAGAGTAGGCTGCGCGCTCAGTACAAATACCATTAGCAAAACTCGTTTTCATGTATAGAAGCTTGTTCCTTAAACGTTCCTTGTACTGTTCCTTGTTCCTTGTACTGAGTGTGCAGCTTACTCTATTTATTGCGTTAATTACATGTTTATCTCCACGTAAGCTTTTTAATAATAATAATTGGTGGGCTGAGAGATTGTTGAGTTGCACACTCTTGGTTACCGGTATGTTGTGGGCGCTTTACTGTTGACAATAGTACACTGAAAGGGAGGGTCCGTGTTGACGTTGGTCGAGCGCAGAGCGGCAACTGCAGTCATGCCAATGAGTCCATTGCACGTTGCCAAATAAGGAACGTGTGGGTAATGCATGTGAGTAGTGTAGTAGTACATGTACGCTGGGATCAGCAGTGCACTGCTTAAAACACCGAATGTAGCCATGCCCAGGTGCCATATGTAGGGTGTTCATAGCGCAAACTATGTCATTGCGCAATACGCTCGGACGTCTCTTATCCGGGCACATTGGGACTAGGCACTGTGTGTCCATATCTCAGATTTGCCCGTATCTCAGGATAACTCATCTACCATGTATCATGTCGGTTTTTTGAAGAAGTTTATTTGGCACGTATTGCACATGTTCAGGTTACAAAAAGAATCCATTGATAAAAAGGTGTGGATTACACAGGCTGGCAGTGACAAATAAGCACTTGTGCATACGGAAAAAAATCAAACCCCCAAAATCGAAGCATTTTTGCCATAGGAACTCAAGTTGAAGGTGCCCGGTAGAGAGACGTGCCCGCATCTGAGGCTTCCGGATAAGAGACGTTTGAGTGTAGGTGTATTGTTCTTGACCCTCTTTTAGAAGAGTCGGTTTAGCTTGTTTCCAAGCCCTACTACAGCGTTTTGTTGCCGCTGTTTCAACTTGGCCGTTCACTGCCTTGTTCATCTCTTGTGCTCCCCTCCTGTGGGTACATTCATCCAATGCCACATGCATACCTGTGTACACGCAGCCCCACCAAGGGAGAATGCTGCACGGACATGTGTCAGGTGATTGGCGCGCAGCCGGCAACGGCCGCCACCACGTCCCCGGCGACCGCAACCACGGCACGCGCAACCACGGCACCCGTAACCACGGTGCCCGTAACCACGACTCCCGCAACCACGGCGCCCGCAACCACGGCGCCCGTTACCACAGAAGCCGTAACCACGGTGGAACCGTCCGGCGCACCGGCAGAGATGGAGGACGGTGTCACAAACTCTAGCATGGAAGCCACCACGACCTATCCCACGACCACGCGGGCCGTGTCTACTGCTGCCTCGAGCAGTGGCGTTGTCACTAGTCACGTGACCAGTGCGCCCGTGACGAAAGCCGGTAAGCAAAAATGCGGTGTGGTGGATAGCTGCCAGGTGCAGACGTTCTGTTCCGGTGCTGCCGAGTGTCCCACACCTGTGAACAAGCCGGATCACTCGCTCTGTACCCCAGTAGGTGTGGACACCAGCAAGCATGACTTTCAACAGGCCTGCCTCAACGGATTCTGCAGTGAATCGGCGTGCCGTGCAAGCGGACACCAGCCCTGCTCCTGCGGTGCTACTTCATGCCAGGTTTGCTGTCGCATCCACGGCGAGTGCGTGAACACCCACAAGACACCGGTGAGTGTTGAGAGAGATAGTGTATGTGTGTGTGTGTGTGTGTGTGTGTGTGTGTGTGTGTGTGTGTGTGTGTGTGTGTGTGTGTGTGTGTGTGTGTGTGTGCATGTGCGCGTGTGTGTGTGCATGTGTATGTGTGTCTGTCTGTCTGTCTCTTTGTGCATGTGTGTGTGTGTATGTGTGTATGCATCTGCGTGTGTGTGTGTGTGTGTGTGTGTGTGTGTGTGTGCGTGTGTGTGTGTGTGTGTGTGAGAGAGTCTGGCTGTTTATCTGTCTGTGTGTATATGTGTGGCATACGTGTCTACATGTGGTGTGTGTGAGCGCAAGCAAGCATCATGCATTGATTGGGGGCAGTTCTATCAGGCATTATGTGTCCCGTACAAGTACTATTTCCTATAAGTTAGGTTAGAAGAGTGCTATTGAGATTTGGCTATGAGACACTACGTGGCACCACTGCCATCACTGCTGGATTGCTGTTGTTTGTACCATTGTGTTATTTAGGGGTCGTCCGGGTTACCGATTGTTTTAAAAAACCGAGAAGTTTTAGTACTTTTACAGCCCCCGCCCACCCACCTACCTTTTCTTCAGGTAAAACGAATTCCAATGAAATATTGATGTCAGTTTTAGGCATTCGGAAGTAACTGGGCATTCTCCAGATGCATTCAATAATTATTTTCAAAACGAAACTCCTAAAACCCACCCACCCCAAACAAAAACTTTTCGTTTTGAAAATACTGTTGGTAGCCTGAGACGGCCCCTTAAGGGCTGTCTGTAATCTGTATGTAACAATATTTTTCCTGAACTAAAAGACTCTGCTAGGAGTGGGTGGATAAGCTCTGCTTTCATTTTTAGACTGCAATGAAGCTACATATACTCCGGAAAACACATGCTTCTGAATTCCAAACAATGTTTTAACCTTTCCGAGGTCGGAAGTAGGTCGGATGAGCGAGTGTAAGCGGGATACCGACTGTTCACCGAAAACAAGTTCACAGAACGACAGTTCATCGAACGACGTGTCATCCAAAGACGATCCACAGAATGCATTCTACACCGACAGACCAATTCACAGAAAACCTGCCTCACCGAAACCAGCTTCACAGTGAAGCATCACATCGAAAATCAATTCATAGAATGCACACCACACCGAACGATGCTGTCACCGACACTAGTTTTTCAATGTACGTGTGGACAATGTAGCCAATCATGTATTTTGGAACAAGTTCTATCACTACAATGTGTAATGTGCAAAGATTTGGCTGTCTTTTTTTCGCTCTCACTGTGGTGTCTCAGGTACTGTATGTACATGATCAAATAATTACTTCAAGTAGTGTCGCTGGCGGTAAAACTTCGTGATTCCATCACTGATTGTAGTTATGGAGCAACCACTACGAAGTGTGGTGGAGAATAGTGGCTGCATAGAAAAAGGATATGGCTACATTGTCGCCTTGCGTCAAGAAGCGAAGACGGGACGAGGCAATGTGTTGGAGGTGTGACCGAAAAGACGAACTAGACGGCATGCAAGGGAATAAAAACAATTAATGTTGGTTGTTGGAAAGGAGCGGAGCATGCTTGAAAAGCTTGGACGACCGGGTGCGCCAGGCAATTCTGTACCAAGGCGGCGGCGGCAGCGCTATCTTAGAATCGACCACCTGTGGTTCAGCAACCTCGTATCTACTTTCCACGCAGGTATCCTGTGAGGATTGCGCATGATTTGGCCTTGCGTGTTCTTTAAAAAAATGGTATGCATGGTACTGAACGTCGTTTTAGTTAACGTTGAATGGGTTTTTCATCATATTTTCCCTTTCCATTTCATACTGTCATAATAATTGAAATTCTGAGCTCTAGCACTCGCAACAGTGTGCAGAGGTTTTATTCTGTGAACTAATCATTCGGTCAAAGAGACAGCTGTGAAATGTCTTTCGGTGTGGGAAGCTCTCTGTGAGTGTGATTTCCGTGAATTGTCTTTTCGGTGAGGCATGCGTTTCGGTGAAATGCCGTACTGTGAACCGTCGTTCGAGGTAGAGTCGTTCGGTGAACTGTCGTTCTGCGAACTGGTTTTCGGCAATCCGTCGTAGTAAAACCAAATTGTTTCGTGAAGAAGCTCAGTAGCTGTAACTGAGCAATGAATGGGCTTGCATGCAGTGTGCATCAGGAAGTTCGCCTCTCATCAGTTGAGTTTTTACTTATAGTTGACTAATGAAATTCGTGCTCCAGGAGCACCTCATCTGCACTGCTCTCCTGGCACGAACATCAGTAGAAATGCCAACATACAATATCCTTCCATGTCCATATGCATGGGAAACAAGTTGTTAATAAGAGCCCCAGGCAGCAGCGTGAGTCAGTGTCACCAATGGAGTGGTAAGAACGGACTCTGGGAACGCCAGCCACTTTGTACTTCGAAAGTAGTTCCTGTTTTCGTCTTCAAAATTTCGATTCTGGAGAAACAAAGTGTACTCTAAACTACTGCATAAGCAGAAATATTCGTCCGGAATTTAATTTCGTCTTTTTCGTCCAAGGAGCTTTTGGACTAAATTTAATGCCGGACTACCGTAAAAGTCCGTAAATAAGTACCTGCCCGAAAGAAATACCCCTTCATTCTTTTGGCTCTGTCTGTTGAAGTCAATTCAAGCCCGATAAACATACTGCCCGAAAAAAGTACCACGTAGCATGTACATCGACATGAAAATGACTTCTCCACTACACACAAGTCAGGTCCGAAAGTTAGTTCGTGCCCGAAAGTCAGTACCCGCCCGAAAGTTAGTACGGGTGTGGTCACTAAATTCGAAAGTAAATATGTACTTATTTACGGACTTTTACGGTAATGTCGATTTGTCCAGCTTTTCAATACACTCTCACGATCCATGGACGAAATTTACAACCGGACGAACTCCCTTTCTTTGGAGTTGGACGAAATTATTGACCGACGGAATTTTCTGTACATCCGGTGTTATGGTGTTGAGTGATGTCTGCATCCATCATACTATTGATAGCTCTACTTCAATTATAGTACCTGGTATTTGGCTCACCTTCGAAATTTCATCCTTTGAATTGACCCGTTAGTTGTGCACTTTCTCTCCAGGTTACTGGCAAAGGCATTACGTTGAGAAACCTGTTCCTGCCTCCAGGAGCGCCGTGCAACAATTACAACGGTATCTGCAATACCAATGCCGAGTGCAAGGACATCGACTTGAACACGGGACTCAACGGCGTCAACAACCTATTCGACCAGAAAGCCTTGAATGCGGTATGTCCCTGTGTGTGTATTTTGTGTGCATACCGTAAAGTCTTGTATAAAAGCCGCCCTCGAATAGAAGCCGCGATTTTGGGCCCATCAAATCACACATAAGCCTGGTTTTAGTGTTGACAAACATAGAAATACCTGTCTTGTATAGAAGCCTGCAAAATTTCACCAAGAAAGTCATAGAAGCCGCGGCTTTTATACAAGACTTTACGGTATTTGTTTGGGGTGGGGGGGGGGGGGCGTGTGTGTGTGTGTTTGTGCATGTGTGTGTGGCACCGACGCGCACAGCTGCCTGCATGCTCTCGTGGAACGACTGGATTAGATTGAGGACCACTTCAAGAATTCCTAGCCTCCCCAACGCTAGCCAGAGTGCTTGGCATGGTACGGAATCATATGCTTTCTTCAGGTCTACGAAGACACAGGCTAAGCAGCACGTCATAATAATGCGGTTTGTACATCTTAGCAGAGTACACTCAGTACCGTCTATAGCATTGGTGTTTGATTTTGAGCATTCTATCACTATAAGCGATGTATCACTATGACCGATACTGCATGCAATGTATGCGAGTGGGGTGTCAAACAACTCAGCGCGCCGTGCACATACGCACAACATAGCTGGTTACAGCGCCTGACACATAACATCAGCATTTCCTCACGATGGAGGCATATTTGGCAATTTGTACAAGCAGAACTCACCAAACAACACTGGACAATTTCTTCACGAAGAAGTCACCACCCTGTTCTCCTCTGAGTCTGACACCAATTGATTTTACATCAATGACCATAACCGATGCAAAATAATGTAATAAAGGTCTTTTGAAATATGAATTTGATCACTACTCGTATAGGCGATATAATTATTACTACAGATGATTATTACTATACGCGATAACTGTGTATACTTAGTTTTGGCAAATGAAAATGAATTTGAGAAATTGATCACTATAGCCGTATATTACTATAGCCGCCAACCTTATAGGCGATACTGACTGTACATGCCATCCGAATGGATTTTTTGTGTGCTTGCGGAGGAAAAATCTGTGCCTCGAAAAAAATATTTATACTCGGCAGGAGTATGTCTCATTAGGTTTGTACAGTGCAAAATCCACTGCACCCTATAGCAGTACAATAGAGTGCCAATTGTCCGAACCCCTCGGGGCGCAGGCTGCCTCCAGGAGGTTCGGATGCGAAGAATGTTCGGATAAGGGAGCAGGCACACATCTATCTAAAACATGCACATTCCCGCATGTTTTCATCATTGCTCATTCTCTTTGGCAGGACAACAGGAGCTAGGCGCGCTCTAGCTCCTAAAATGACACATACTTTGAAGTACATCTTGTGCTTCTCTTGTATGGTGCTCCGATTGGGGAGAATCATCAAAACCCTCGAAAAAGCTGCTATTTTTTTATATATTCCAGCCCGACCAGGCGATCCGGATAATCGATCATCCGGATAGTTGACATCCGGATAATCGGCGTTCTACTGTAACTTGCTTGCAAGACATGTCCGCTGTTATGATGATTATATTGATGACAATACTGAATAGTTCATAGGAACCAACTTTGCATGCTTTTAAAGTGTCTATTCGGCGCCTGCTGTGAATGCTGTGAATGCTGTGAATGCTGTGAATGCTGTGAATGCTGTGAATGCTGTGAATGCTGTGTTGTGGGACGTACAGATTGTTATCTGGCTGAGGAATAACTGGTTCTGGGTGCTGGTCATCATTGCCGCCATCATCATCGTGGCCGTCGCCGTGCACTTCACCTACAAGTGGAAGAAGAAGCACGACTGGACCGAGGGCAAGCAGCTCGCCTACTCTGCCACCAAGCGCCTCGGCAAATCCCTGCGCGGGCCCAAGGGCACACAGAGGAGAGGCGCCCGTTCCAACAACATTGACAGTATGGAAACTTACGATATCAGTAAGTGCATGCATGTACTGCCATGCTGTAAAATGTAAACCCCGAATCATCGTGACGGAAATCTTAGCGAATTTAGAAAACTGGTCAAATTTCCATAAGTAAGGACTCGAGAACCAGTTTTCCGAGATCGTTGAGGTTACTAGTAGCTGCATGTACGTGTGCAGCGGAATTCTTTGATCTCTAAAATATATCGCCGCTAACATCATTCACAATTCTCTCGCTGATTAATGCCTCTACGATCACCTTGTGATTATGAGTTATACATACATACATACATACATACATACATACATACATACATACATACATACATACATACATACATACATACATACATACATACATACATACATACAATGTACTAACAGCACGAAAACGCTAAAATACCCAGCAATACAGCTTTGTTTACCCATCTCTGTGCATATTGTAAAAGCAGAAATTCTCGGTGGTGTAATAATTTCGGTATTCTCCAAAATCGGCGGTTCGGTAGAGGGAAATTTTCGGTAAACCCGTTTTCCAGGTAAGTGTACTAGCACTATAATTATTGTAGTATCGAAATTTTCGGTGCGTGTTATTTTCGGTGCGTGTTATTTTCGGTAAAAATTATCGGCACCGAAGTTACCGAAAATAAAACACCACCGGCGAAGATGTCTGCTTTGACAGTAGCCTGTATCCTGGAATAGTAGCCACCCCTTGCTACCTTGGTGGGAAACTAGTGCAACGTTCTCGACGTTTCTCTGCGCACTTGATAGCATAGAAACTTGCTTGCCACTCACTCCCGTAAAAGTCCCGTTCAAGTCTGAGTAAGCAAAACATGCATTTGTTGAAGCTCAATAACTGCGGACAGTCGCTAAGCTACAGCTATAGTGAAGTTATCACAATGCAGGTAAAATCCTAGTATTATCCTACCCAAAGTGCATGTTTGGCATCCAGGTGACCTGCTCGGCCCTTGGCACCCTGGAAGCAGAATACAATGTCATGTGCACCTACATTGTGCTTCGTGCAACGATAATGGGAAAGGGTGAACGATGTAATGGGAATGGGTCATTGATGTAATGCGAACTAATGAATGATGTAATGCAAACTAATGAATGATGTAATGGGAATGGGTCATTGATGCAATGGGAACTAATGAATGATGTAATGGGAACTGGTCCAGAGCGCCAGTTTTGCACGTTGGGTCGGACTTCACCTAGTGCAGCTGTAACTCTATGTTTTAAAGACAAACACGACCATGTTCTGCGATGACTGTTGTTCTCGTAGGGACATGCGCCCGTCGTATGAAGAAGATGTTCCCCACCGCTGGCTACGAGGTGCTGATGGGTGCTGCCAGGGAGGTGAACGACGAGGAAACCGCCGTCACCAAGATACTGGACCAAGGCTTCAAGATGTGTAAGTGGTAGACGACACTCGCCTCCCTACTTCGCTTGAGCCCTGGAAGCGGTGTGACTGCACGCTGTTTTATTTTCCTGGCCGTGCTGTATTTGTTTTACTTTTTTTTCAGCTAGCGGTAACCCTTTCCCCGTTACTACTGCCTTGACTGATATCAACGAAGCCATGTCTATTTTTCTCTTCTACTACTATTACATGTCTGTGCGAATCGTGGCCTTCACTTTGCGCGCTGCATCTCTCTAGTGTAACCCGGACGAGACCAACGTGTCTTCTGTCGAGTGTTAACCATGCGTATGCTTGACTATTTTGTGATGCATGACTCGGTTCTGATGTACCTATGACCACACACTACTTTTTCCCCCGATACCAACACTAGTCCGTGATTTTGCATTCAATGCTGTGCCAATGGATTTATTTAATATATTGAGTGCTAATGTATTCTATTCAGAACTGCCATTAGATGAACTGGATTCTTGTCGCCTGATGGTCGTCGTAGCGTGAAGCTCGTCGTGAGGCCCAACAAGTAATTTGTGCATTTCCGGCTTTCCCGGCGTGTAAGATGTAATGGGATATGTTGGTTCGTCCATCATGTACCGTATTTGCCCGATTATAAGTCGCACTCGGTTATTATACAGTACATGTAAGTCGCATCCCCATTCTCAGGTTTTGAGCCATATTGTTTTGGTATGCAGTAAAATCTGTAACAAAAGACCACAGTGACTAGCGACCAGCCTGGTACTACAGACCACTTCGCCAGGCACGGACGCTCTCACATTATGGTTGTGCGGTGCAAACCTCTAACTAAGGACCACCTGCCACTAAAGACCGCTTTCTCTGGCCCCAAGGGGTGGTCGTTAGTCACAGGGTTTACTGTATTGAATATTATTCATTTCAGTACATGTAGTAAGGCATGCTCGATTGTAAGTCGCACCATCTTTTTGCCCTCGAATGTGTAGTGTGAACGGTTGCTACGTATTTTCGGTGAACTACTGTGTGTCCTTTTAGCAACGGACCGTGCGTGGAGTAAGTATTTATTCCCGTAGCTATGCAGAAGACGTTACTTCAGAAACGTCTGGCGCTAGCCAGGGTCCACACAGCTTTAATTTGGTGTTTGTTTGTTTGTTTGTTTGTTTGTTTGTGTCACGCCTGGCGCTATCCCGTATCTGTCCCGTACCGTATCGCACAGCTGGCCATTTGCTGGCTCCCGTATCTGTCCCGTACCGTACCGTACCATCAAACACAGCTGGCTACAAACAGCTGGCCACAATGCTATGTACAATGTACATGTATACGACTCCCTGTGTGTTGCAACTGTGCTTGAAGGGGACAGTTGCACTTTTTGTAGCTCCGTTTTATCTGAGTTTTCAGTCGTTCCTCTTACTAGTCTTGCCAAGGGGGTGGCTCTGGGTCCACCAGAGTTGCCCCTGGCGTATTTCTGAATTTGCTGGGGCGAGGGTTCCGCGACGCGGTTGCCAAGGCAGTGTCTTTTCAGTCACGACCGTTGTCGTCCTCGTCTCTCCATTCGCGGTGGTGTAGCTGACCCCCGAATGGTTTCAAACTGCGAAGCTCGGAGGAGTATAGTGGTGGCAGAGGCATGAGCTGTGAGTGGAGACGGTTGCTGGAGATGGATGGTGATGCAGGGAGAAGAGTTACGCTGCCTGACGCCGCGTGGGAAATTGTTTGAACCTGCAATTTCAGTTCGAGCGCGGTAGACTTCTAGACGATGTGTCCTCATGGCTGTTTTTCAACGCTTGGCCTATCGCTGATATCCCTGCGTGGGATGTTCTTCCAGTGGAGTCCAGGTGCGACTTCGGGTGCCCACACTCCATCACCTGGTTGATTGTTTCGGAACTGCAAAAATAATCAGTATTGTTTCCTATTTTGTGCGCATCTCTTGTCATCTCTCTTTTCTATACGTCGCACACCAGATGTACTACTATCGTCGTCTTTCTCTTGCTTTCTCTCCCTGCTTGCTGTTTTTTTGTTTCTGTTGCCACTGTCCCTCATCATACACATGCTTGGGTGGTGGGCGGCGTGACCCGTTAGGGTAGCTGCCAATACAGTACGACTCCCTGATGTATAGAGAGACTTTCTGGAAAGAAATAGGGAGACGAGGAGGAAATGAAGTTAGAATGGATGTTAGTTGCCGAATAGGTGATAGGATGCGTCAGCAAAAACATACTTTGGAAGAGAGATCCCGTTGTCTCCAAAATAGGCGTGAACGGGCGAGTCAGCGCCGGTCACAGGAAACGTCGGCAGAGTGATCCCGTCGACTCCAGAACGCGCGTGCTCGGCAGAGTCAGCGCCTTCCCAGGAAACATTTCCATCAGTTCCCACAACATGCACGATGAGCTAAGTAACAAAGCATAGCGTAGGGCCCTGAGCTTCCAAGCTCTCTCGTTTAATTTATATTTATCTCGGATACTGAGCCTGGATAGCCCTTGGCGGATTATGCCGGCATAATATTTGGCATAATCTTGGGATTTCGTCAAAAAATTATGCTCCGGCATAATATACGGATTCCAACGTGTAAGGTCGGCATAATCTTTCGGTTTAGACAAAAATTATGCTAATAGGGGCATAATACAGCTTTGTCAGAAAGCCTGCAGATGGTTTTTTTTCTAAATACCCCAGTTACGACCCTTTGTCATAGCCCTTGGCGGATTATGCCGGCATAATATTTGGCATTATCTTGGGATTTCGTCAAAAATTATGCTCCGGCATAATATACGGATTCCAACGTGTAAGGTCGGCATAATCTTTCGGTTTAAACAAACATTATGCTTAGGGCATGTTCGTGTGTGTATGCGTGGCTTCTCAATCCTCTATGTACAGCGTGAGTACATAGTGGCACCGAGCATAATTCAGCATATTTGTTGGCATAATTGTGGCATAATCAAAAGCATAATTTGACGATTGGCCGAGCATAGTCCGCCAATGGCTACTGAGCCAGTAAAAAAATGTTTAAAAGAAGGAAAGAGAAGAAAACACATAAGAACGAGTTATGCAGCAACTATCCACGACTGTATAATAACATGATGATCATTGAAACAGTCAGAAAGTGCGATAATAGGGCACAAAACTGACAGGCTACTGAGACAATCAGCGACCTGAGACCTAGCTCTAACACATCTCCAGTGCGCAAACCAACAGCCTTCCAACTACATGTACCGGTATTACTTGGAAGGTTCATGGTTACGTAGGACCAAGAGTACATAACCCCCCAGGTAGGACCGAAGAGGGAAGGTGAGGGCAGCGAAAATGTGCACAAGCTAAGTCCCACGGCAACAAAGAATACCGACTGTTACAGGACGATGACGAGACCAGTTGGTTTGCGCACTGGAGATGTGTTAGAGGCTTAGAGCTAACTATGAACCTTCCAAGTAATTACTAGTAGTTGGAAGGCTGTTGGTTAGCGGAGGTGTGTTAGTCTTAGAGCTAGGTCTTAGGTCGTTGAATGTCTCAGTAGCCCGTCAGTTTTGTGCCTTGTTATCGCCGCGGCACGTACATGTAGATCTACTGACTGCTTATTATCTTGTTTACAGTCGTGGATAGTTGCTTCATAACTCGTTCCCATGGCATGTGTTTTCTTCTTCTAGTGTATTATGTAAGTATCACAGGTCACAATACGCCTCTGTCCGGCGATAGTTTCCTGGTCATACTTTGCAAAATGAATAGTCCCACTTAGCCCTTGGCGGATAAGGCTGACAAACTGGCAGATTCTGCTCGAAAAGCAGTCATCGGAAACGGGCAGAACCCCTGCAAACCTCATGACAGACACTTCCTTGAATGCTGCCGCTCCATTCCCGTATCCAAACATGCATGAAACATACCAGAAAGAGTAGTGTACATTGTACATACATGTATACCAAATGCTGCCAATGTTTCTGCTGGCATTATCCGCCAAAGCCAAAGGCTATTATTACTAGTCCCACTCCTAGCTTGCTTTATTAGACTTAGAGTTTAGTTGGGCACGATCACGTACACGTACATGACGTGTACATGTACAGTGCTGGCACTGTACATGTACCGGTACATGATTGTATACAAATGTAACACTATTGTCGACTACTGGCCATTAGTCTCCAAAAAATGTACATGTATACTGACTATGAACTCGGATGGAGAGCCAAGGATTATTTATAAAAAGTAAAAAGGACCAAGGAACTCCAAGATGTGCTAGAGCTGTTAGCCAGTTATAGTTGTAGAACGTCAGTACCGTCGGTCAGTGTCGTGCAATCTTATCGCATGCGCATGAGCTGATTGTTTAGTAACTGGTGGTGTTAGTGGACATTACATGTATCGTAGAACTTGTAGTTCCTTGGTTCTTTTTTACTTTTTATATACTGACTATACTCTTCTTTGAAGCCACAGGTTTGAAGCCACAGGGCGTGACAGGGGCGACAATTTATTTGGACATACATCTACATGTAAACTCGGATACTGAGTAGGGTCCAGCGGATAATGCTCCGAAAATGTTCGTATAATGCTAACCAATCGTTTTTAACCAACAGCCTCTGACTCAAGTGTCTAGCACGAGAATCCTGGTGGGAGTCATTGTAGACAGTGATGTTTCTTGGTCTGGTCACATAGACTTTATCGTTAGGAAGACTTGCACGAAAATTGGTGCTCTTCGACGGTGTTTTCGGCAACTAAGTTTGAAGGCAACACGGCAGTTTATCCTCTCTGTTATCCTGCCTGACTTATTATACTGCTGCTCTTGCTTTGCAATGAAACTATCCACCAAGGACCGACAGCGACTCTCGTCCGTTTATCGTCGTTCTGTACGCGCTGCTTGTGGCTCGAAACTACAAGATGACGTCATGCCGCTGTTAGCTAGATTGTCGATTGATCCGTTTGAACATTACCTTATTCGTAGCATTGCTAAATTTATCCATGTTAATCATGTCGTTTTCCCTCTCCCAAATCTGACGGACCTTTTCCCTCAAGTTTCAACCGGCCCTAGGACAACAAGAAGCTCTTTTAATGCTGCTATTGCAATATCTAAATTCCGGACGACTGACGGTGTCAGTTCCTTTTCAAATCGTGCTGCCCTGTTCTTTAATTCTTTGCCTGTGGAGTGGCGCACCCAGCACCGCACTACATTTGCTAAGCACCTTCAGACCATGCTAAAAGACGCAGCGTCTTTTCAGAAGTATTTTGATCTTCTTTTCAGCAAACTCCCTCATTGATCTGCACCGCCTGTATTGTATAACTGTGTTTACTGCGTTCCTAGTTTAAATTCGTTTTTAAAAACATCTCTTTAATTCTTGCATTATCCCATTATGACCATGCTTAAAGACGCAGCGTCTTTTCAGAAGTATTTTGATCTTCTTTTCAGCAAACGGCCTCATTGATCTGCATCGCTTTTATTGTATACCTGTGTTTACTGCTTACTGCTTACTGCTGCTTTATTGTTCCAAGTATCAGTTTAGTTTAGTTTAAATATCTCTTATTTT